ATTACTTTTAAAAGTAACTTTCACCAACACTTCTGTTAACCATGCAGCTGCATATAAATGCCCTAGCAACCGCATAGCAACAGCCTGGCAGCCACTCAGTGGTGGGGGTGAGTTTTAAAGTCGTTTATTTGATAAATATGTAATATTGCGATGCTCTGCACAGAGCGGAGTGATGTGAGTGTGATTTCTCTAACAGGTGTATGATGGAGTGAGTCTTTTATAAACGAGTGTCGCTCAGGTGAGTTCAGACGCTGAGCTGATCTTATGTAAAGAAACCGCGGGACCGGTGCGTCCGGTGGAGCCAGTTACTGAACACAAGAATGAAAGCGCTGGATTTGACAATAGCATTGGACTCGACGCTGACAAACACAATGACACACACTCGCGGCTCTCGGGTCTCAGGGTTATCGTGTTCAGTCTGGGTCCTGTCAGAAACGGCGTGACACTTCAGCGTCTGCAGGACGAAGTGAGGAAAACCTTTAGAAATCAAAGCAGTGAAGAAACGCAGCTCTGAGCAGCAGAAGATCTCAGGGATTCTGAGTGCTGCGGCTCCTGATGCGTTACTGCCCCCTGTGGCCATTAATAACACTTCACTACTGCTCTACTGCAGCTGTTCATCTCATTTCACACTATTTGCATTTAATTCTATCATTGAATGCTGTATTGTACTGTTCATGTTATTTGCTGGTATGTGTAACATATGTGTAAATATACAGTATTTTTTATATACAGGCTTATCAGGCAATCTTTTTTTTGGGGGGGGGGTCTTATTATTATTACTCTTATTATTATTATTCTCTAGATATGTAATTTAGTACCATAGTCAATTTTGATTTTATTACAATTCTTTGCTAAATGCACATTACGGTCCACAATTTAGTGTGTTATACATACATAGTGCTTTTCTTATCATTTCTTTTTTTTTTATTAGTATTTAGTAGTTTTTTATATTTCTATTTAGCTTTATTTTTATTTCAGTTTTAGTGCATTCTAGTACCTAAACTTATTTTATTTCATTGAAATCGGGCTGAAATAAAATAAAATGTTAAATGAAATATTTTTAAACCTCTTTAATTTCTCATTTCCAAATTAATTTATCTTTTTATTTCCAATTTTCCTTCAGGTTGTGCTACATTTTTTCAGCTTTATTTCAATTAACCAAACGCTTTTTAATAACTGAGTAATTTCAATTAATTTACAAATTTTTTTATAGTTAACAATACCAACACTGACGTGTTTTTTGCGTTTTCTGTGCTGATTGTGAAAGACAATCTGCGGAAACTTGTCAAAGTGTGTTAACTGAGCCGAAACACCACTGAATCATCATCATAACACTGGTCAGATGTACAGCAGTGACGTAACATCAGGACTCATCATTAATCAGGCAGTCAACAATCAGTCTGCTCACGTCACGATACCGACTCAGACTATTTCAAGAACACCAGGATCAAAATAGTTCAGCTGCACACACAATGTGAACAAAGACGGGAACTTTCAGTGCATTGATCTGAAAGTTTATCAGGGCCTTTGTGTCTGAAGAGAGTGAAGAAATACGCTATGCACACCCACACGCTGATTTCTGAAAGGAAATGTCAACATAGATGCAATAAATCAATCAGAAGTGCCAGTGAAGACGTTTCTAATGTTACACGAGATTTCTGAACATTCTATTCAACAAAGAATCCTAAAAAAATGTATCAGTTTACACAGAAATATTGTGCAGCACGACTGTGTTCAACATTGATAATAATCAGAAATGTTTCTAATAATCAGCATATTATACTGATTTCTGAAGATCATGTGACACTGAAGACTGGAGGAATGATGCTGAAAATACAGCTGCGCATCACAGAAATACATTACAGCTTAACACATACTCACATAGAACACAGCTGTTTGACATTATAATCATATTTCATTGTTTTTACTGTATTTTTGATCAAATTAATCAGAAGCAGAAAAACTTCTTTCAAAAATATTAAAACATCTCACCAACCCCAAAGTTTTTAATGATAGATAGATATAGGTTTGAAACCCCAGATAGCAAGAATGTTTGGGTTAGCATGTGGCTGATAGCGGTCACATTTAGCCTAGGTATGGCATGGCTGAGCACATATGGGCCAAACTTGAACCGTATATGTTTTGCCATGGATTTAGTATTGGAGGGAATTTTCTTTTGGATGACCATTTTTTTGAGGTATATGGTCAGATGATAGCACACAACTGAGAGCCATATGTGGCTTGGCTATGGCACACCGTGGAATATGTTAACTTATGGTTAACATTTGGCTTTTATTTGGAAAAACACATATAAACTGCTGGCAGGTCAGTGGCAGTCCACATCTCAGCCCATTCAACAATGCTATTGGTTGCTTTGTGTCTTCCCTTATTCCTATTGGTGGATTACTGAAACTTTGAAAATATATCCGTTATTTCCCGCTCTGCTTCCTCTTTCAATCGCCGTTAAAAAAGAAGAAGATGATGAAAAAGCTCCCTATTTACAACAACAGCCTTTGCCCAGACACATTCTTATTCAGGTAAGTGCAGTTTTGGTGTTTTAAATGTTTTCTAGGGGTGTAATGGTACACTTATTCGTACCAAACAAATACAGTGTCATTTTAACCACTGCACGCGCGGAACTTAATCTGTTTCAATTCATAGCCGTGAATAAATCTTCACTATACTTTATTACTATACATTACATTCTGTAATCGTAAGGTTTTAGAAAAGTGCAATGTGCAAATGTGCAGTTTATATGTTTGCATTGTTTAGTGTTGGTTATTGTATCTAAAAATAAATAGAAATGTAATTTAATAGATTGGGCTCTGTTGTTAAATGCAGCCTTTAATATTTTAGTAATGTGCTCTAATAGGGCTCCCTATTGTATAGCATTAGCTAAGATAGATTTTTTATGCTTAAGAAAATTGTAATTATAATTGAGTTTGTTTAAAGGCAGAGCCATAAATTGTTCAGTAAACCACTGTTTATATATATATATAAAAAAAAGCAATTGTATGTTTTCTGCCCCTGCTGTACCAAAAATGTATGAAACTGTGACTTCAAAGCTGAGGTACAATTACACTAATGTTTTCATTAATATTATGCATATAAATAGCCTGTTATTAAAGTAGCTAAAATTGTCCTAATTTAATAAGGCACTCATGTCTTGGGTGATAGAAAAGCATGTGTGCAGTGCTGATTTACACTCATTTATGTGCTTGTCTTGAAATAATATCTAATGTGTGATACTAATTATGATATACTAATGTTCTTTTTTCTCTTCTTTTTCCTGACAGACTGTGAGTGAGAAAGACTGGCGAGACTTACTAAAAGTATCAACTTCTTTTATGTTCTGTATTGTAATTCTGTTATTAAAATTCTACTATAAACATTTAAAAATGAGTGTGAATCCATTTTTGTGTTTAAGATTTACTGTGTAATGGGTATTTTAAATAAAAACAAATAGGTGTGGTGTAAATATGGTTAAATAATGGCATTTGGTTTATCAGCCACATGTGGGCCGTCAGCCCTTTACAGAACTCAGACATATAAGAATACCATATAAGGTCCATATATCAGCCACATCTGTTTTTATTATTTGGCTCACTCTGGGTTGGGTTATTATGGCACTGTTTAGGTTCAGTTCTGGCTAAAAGGATGTGGACCAGTTGTGGGCCGGCGAACACAAACTAATCTGGGCCACACTTTAGCTGTTCATATGGGCCAGATCCGCGCCGAAGGAAATTTGCTGACTGGGATGTCACTTAGAGAAATCTGTATTTAGTTTATATATTTTAATAACAAATATATAAATCAATTTTTGAGGTCCAAGCTTTAGTAAATTCCCTTTCCTGTCATTCCAATTCATTCCCGCAGTTAAACTTCCGGTCATATCAATATCAGTCATAATAAGCATGAGTTCTTACGTCCACAAATACATTTTTAGCTTTCAGTTCAAAGAACGCTTTGCTAACATTCTCATTTAAGCTCTGAAAATATTATTTCTGATGTTCTCAAGAAAAGAAGAAGAAATCCTTCTCTTGCTCATGTGAATAAATCAGTGCGGCTTTACTGACATCTAGAGCTTAAATTGAGAAACTGGCTGAAAACATCAAAGGCTTCATTACAGATGACAATAATAAGAAACAGTTTGACAATCAATCTGAGTGACACTCTATGAATTATATACTATATATGAATGAATGAATGAAGATTCACAACTCCAGTCAAACATACAGGTCTCACAGTCACACGGGGAAATAACTACAAAATAAAAAAGTAAAACATGTCAGCCAGAGATTGACTATTTATCAATAACGGGAAAAGAGTGTGTTAAATACACAAAGGAAAGAAGGATCAATTTCCATTTGAACTCATTTCTGCAAATAATAATTGATCTGATTTCAGCCATTGAAACATATCTACTGCAAATCAATTCACTCTCTCCAGATTTCATCAGAGGATTATTAACCAACTCCAAACTCATTCTTATTTATTTATTTACAGTGCATGAACTTTGGTATTGAAAGCTGTTGAACTATAACAACTAAATTTGTCAAGTTGAAATTACTTAGAATATTTTAAGCATATACAACTTAAGTCAGTGCAGACTGATAATTCAAAAATGTAAGTTAAATATTTCAGTGTTTATTTGTCTATTTACACATCTTAGTCACATATCCCAAAGTCTTTGCCAAGAACAAAACAAAACACAAAAGCAACTGAACATTAATTATTCAGCATTAATGCCCAGAAAAAAAAGAGAGTTCCTTGTCATCACACTATATGGGGTAAGTTGTCACAAGAGCGACCTGACATTAGAATTACACGAAAGAATTACACAAGCAATTAAAGTAAAACAGCTAGATAATTCGATTTTTTTTATAGAATTTGATGAACGTAATGAAAAATATATTTTTTTAATTTTCTTTATGCAAAATATAATTACTCATTCTTAGCTTTGTCAAGTATGCATGTCTGCAGAATATGTAGCTTTGCTCATTTGACTGATATCAGCATGCGAGACTGAATCTGGTCTTGAATCCTGGGCTGTATTTGATGAGATCTGATCGTCTTGAGTTGAGTCTGAATGTGAGAGGAGACACAAGAGTCTCAGTCTTCATCTTCTCCATTAGATGTATGTATCCAAACTCTCAATAGCGTCCGGTTTTGAGTATTGTTTCCATTCATCTGGTATCCTTCCACTCCCCTCAAATGTTTTACTGTAGTGTTTCTCCAGATCTCTCTGGAATCTGCACACAAACCACTTCCAGTAGGGCAGTGTAAAGAGATCAGGGCTGATGCTCCAGTCTGCATAAACTCCTCCTGCTCTTCTGTAATCTCTATATGGAAACCTCTGAGCTGATACACAAAATGTTCTTTCACTTGCCACTAAACTTGTGCAAATATCAGCACAGAGATTCTGTGTAGAAGTGTAATATGTGCCATTAATTCCATCCACTCTGTGGAAAGCAACACTGTGATCTCCATCATGGTTTTCTATGATGTTTGAGCAGACGGCTTCACAGAACGGACACTGAACCCAACAGCACTGACAGAAGAGATCAATCAGAAGCTCATCTGCTCTGAACTTGAGGTCCAGTTTTTCATCAAATGACCTTCTATTGAATCTCCTGCTGATGTCTGACACTATAGCAGTAAGTTCTTGCCTCATCACATCTTCTAGGAGGTTGAAATCATCCACATCAACATGTTTGACTCCACGGAGGTGTTTCTCAGAGAAGATCAGCTCATCTGAGAGCTGCTGTGTGAAACTCTTAACCCACAAACCAGCTTCTCCTCTGTTCTCTCGAGCACGTTCAGTAGATTGATGAGCTGCTTCTATGATCTTCTGCTGCAGGACTTTAATGTTCTTCTTCATATTGGATAAAACACTGAGACTGAACCGATCACTGATGTACCGCCTGACTTCATCTCTGATGAAACCACTGAAGTGATCTCTGGGATTGTGAATGTAGTTCATGTATTTGTTAAAATCCTCCTCTGCTGCCAGTGTCTTCAGGATGTGTTTCTCCAGATTTGATCGGTTTCTATTCAGTGATTCACAGTTTGATCTCATTTCATCCGTCAGATCTCTGGCAGTCTTCTTGTAGACACTCTGCTCAATGGGCTCTTTCAGTTTCTGACAGATATTCTCACCAAAAATTGTGAGCTGATGCAGCTCCATGACAGTATTTCTGGAAAATACTATAGTACTCTTCTCTCTTCTTCTGAACATATATTACAGGATCATTGGCTTCTCTGAACAGTCTGTGTTGGTCAGTGATCATCTTGTTCGCTCTCTTACAGATGGACAGAACCAAATCCATGAAGAATTGATTCCTGAACACATATCTCACTGGTCCTTCCTCATGCTCTGTTACTCTCGCTCTGATGTAATCTGTGAGTTGTTGAATGCAGCTGGTGTTGTAGCCCATCTTTGAGATGTTAAATGACTGAATCATTCTGTCTGTCTGCTGAGCAACATCTGTGACTAATGATCTTATTTGTGCTTCATCCTCTAGAGACAGAGCTCGAACAAATCCAAATGTTTCTCTAGCTGTTCTGTAAGCATCCTTTGCAGCCCATTTAAGCAAACCTTTTTTGGACTTTCTGAAAATAACATAATCTGAATAACTGGGCACAGTGAAAATATCCCTGCTCTCCCTCCAGTGATCAGCAGGAGTGCTTTCATAGACGTCACTGAGGACCTCTCTCACATCTCTCATTATGTCAATGTGTCTGATTGCAGGAGTGTCTCTGATGATCTTCTTCACACACTGATCCCAGAACAAATCAAACTCTTTCTTCAGTGTGTCTTCATCGATTGCTTTGTCTTTGAGGTTTAAGGCGAGTTCTTTGCTCTTTTCATAGAGAGTGTTTTCATAATGTTTCCTCTGAGCATCAATCTTTTTCTTCAGGTGTCGCTGCTGCAGAACCTCATTTAATTTTCTCTTTGTTTCTCTCACAATGTTTTCCTGAAAGTCTTTGATCTTGATTTCAAATGATGTTTTCCACTGAATCAGTATATCTGCATATGTGTCTTTCTCAAAGAATTCAGACATTGATTTTTCCACTTCTTCACTTGTCTCCTTCAGCTCTCTCTGAAGATCAGTTTCTTCAATCTCATGAATCACATCATTTTCTATTCTGTTGTGTAGTTTGTTCTCAGTTTCCAGCATAGCACTGCGAAGCCTCCAGGACCACTTCCTGTATTCAGTCTTCAGTTTCCTGTAAGCCGAGATTTCCAGAGCGTTTCTGAAGCTGAAGACGAATTGTTCATTCAGTAAAGCCTCCCAGAGATCTTTAATACGATCTTTCAAGTGTGTCAGCCTCATTCCATGTGATTTTGAGGCATGAGACATGATAGTTTTCTTCAGTTCTTGAATGTTCTCGCAGTATGTTGGGTTAGGTGGAGCCATCGGTGGGCATCCCTCCCAGAGCTGAGCGAAATACTTCACATCTTTCTGAACATCAAATCTAATCACATCACTGAAACATTCTGCATCACAGTCTTCCTCTTTAGCAGCGAGTTTTGTCATCTCATCCAGTGTCTCCTGCAGTCGTCTCCTTCTCTCCACGTTTTTCTCTCCAGCTGTGACGTCTGAGATGTTCTGATGCACAAACACACAGCTGGGAGACAGATTTACCTTCTTCATCCTCATGAAGGCCTGAACAACAATCTGAAGAATGTCCTGCATCTCAGCTGGGTTTTCTCCAAAGATGTTGATCAGTGTCAGATTTCCGAGACCTACAACAAATGTGGCCAGTTCATTGTCATGATGTCTTGTTGATCTTCCGGACAGTTCTAGAGCTCGAAGACCCTCAGTATCAACAACCAGAATATAGTCAGTGTTCATCTGTGTTTTCATCTCGTCTGAGACTCTGATCAGCTGCATGAAAGCTCCTCTGGTTGTTCTGCCAGCACTGACGGCAGACTGCAGTCCAAACATGGCGTTCAGCATGGTGGATTTCCCAGAGCTCTGGAGCCCTAAAACTGACAGCACAAAGACTCTCTGGTCTCCTAGTCTCTGATTGAGTTGATCTAGAACAGCAGAGATCCAGACCACAGGAACATGAGCAGCATCTCCATCCATCAGCTCCAGTGGAAACCCAGAGATCATCATCTCTGCTGCGAGACTCGGGAGAGAAGAGAAGTGAACCTGCAGGTCTTTCTTGTTCTTCTGCACAGATGAACACGATTCATAGATCTGACCGATCTCCCTCATGATGTGCTCCACACCAAAGCCTGCAGCTTGAAGATCCTCGGATATTCTCTCAAGCTCAGATTGTTCAGCTCTGAGATGTTCAGATTTATTATGGTTCTCTTTCAGTTTCAAGACTGTTGACCACTTTTCATCATATGTGTGATGTAGAGCAGAAAGATCAGCTGATGCATGTTCATCCAGAAGGATTCTGAGCCATTTAAGAAAAAACATCTTTGTGGCAGCGTGTGAGTTCATTTCTTTAATAAAGAGCTTCATAAACTCACTGATGTCAGATTCATGCTGCAGTTCACGTATTTTCTTCATCTCTGTTTGTTTTCTTCTGATGTACATTTCGATCTCATCTCCTGGAGGTCGATGTAGTTCTCTGTTCCTCTGACTCCACTGATGCCACAGTTTGCCCTGACGAGGCAGAAACCATTCTTTGACTTTCGTCAGATCTTTCTTCTGCAGTAAACTCATCATCTGCTGTGCTGCTTCTCTTCCTCTCCTGCAGTCTTCGTCATCTTCCTCATCTACTCTGACGTCTGAGTGTTTGGACACATCTTCAAGTCTGAAAGTGTGAGATGAATCTGAAAGACAAGCATTTATAGCTCTTCTGAGTTCTTCAGACACATCTGATTGATTTCTGTCTTTCAGACCAATTTTATATTTTCTATTCCTCATCTCAGTGAGAGCTAAATCATCCTCAGTAAGGAGACAAATGAGTGGCTTTGAGTCCTTGTACAGGTTTTGAACTTTTATCATGTTTCTATCATTCCTGTCGAGTTGTGGCAGAAGAACAACATTGACTGAGCACATGTCAGTGAGGATCTGCAGCTGTTTCTCGTGGTCTCCTGCATCACCGTGTAGATTACAGAATGCTACACACTCACTGAAATGATCATTATATGATCCAGATGGGCAGAACCAGGAGATCTCCACCACTCCGTCCATCAGGACTCTGGTTCTGCTGCTGCCTGGGCAGTTTCTGTGGAAGAACGGGTTGTGTTTCTCATTAATCAGACGGTTCATCAGCTGAGACTTGGAGGAAGACACAGAGCCAAACCTGGAGAAGAACACCATTGGAGTTTCTGCCTTGTAGATCGGCAGGGTTTGTCTGATGATCTCATTTCTGGTGTTTCTGATCTTCCAGCTCTTGATGATTTGTCTGAATGTCCAGAGAGGAAACTCAATCTGTCGTGTGAATGGATCAGGAACAAGCAGAGGCAAAGCGTACTGACACTGGGACAGTTTAGTGACCATCAGCTGCTTCAGGAAAACATCAGCACAATGAAACACAGCCATCTGGACATCCATCGGGTGGATTCGCTCAGACTGACTGGTTTCTTCATTTGACAAAGAAGTTCTTTCAAAAATATCAAACTCATCTTCTGAGGAGTCACTGTCTCTTTGTTGCATGTGATCTTTGGTCTGCTTAGTTTGAATGTATCTTGCTCTGTAGTTCATCATCAGTAGTTTCTGTAGGAAAGTCTGAACCAGCTCTTCTTCAGCACAAGACTCATGAGACTGTAATGAATGTGCAGTTATCTGAAGAACATCTGCAGCTCTCAGTCTGTTGAGGTGTTTGTCTTCAAGATGAAGTCTGTGAAATAGATTCTGTATTTTTTCTGCTGGTTCAATGTCCCTGTTTTCTCCCTGTGTAAAAAAACAATAATACAAAAAGTTAAAACAATAGTACAATTATTATTATAATCATCACAAGCAATAATTCATTTCTGTTATTTACCTGCAGTGAAGGACCAGTTTCAGAGCAGATCTTCTTCTTCTTCTTCTCCTCCTCTTCCTCTCTCTCCTCTTCCTCTCTCCACTGCACTCGTCTTCTCTTCAGCTCTTCTTCATGCTGTTCTTCAAGAGTCTTCTGTTGATCTTCTCGCATGTTTCTTTCTTCTTTCAGTCTCTTCTCTGAATCCTCTAGCTGTTCTTGTTTCTCTCTTTCTATTCTCTCTTTCTCTCTGACTATTCCCTCCATTTCACTCTTCAGTCTCTGAATCTGTTCATCCCAAGCTCTCTGTTCTTGTTCTCTACTTTTCTCCTCCTCTTCTTCTCTTCTCGTCTTTTCCTCTTCTTTCTGTTTCTCCCGTTCCTCTCGTTCTCTCTTCATCTCCTCTTTCATCTCTCTCTCCTTCTCCTTTATTTGTGTTTTATATCTCTCTTCTCTCTCATTTAATTCTTCTTCTCTTCGTTTAAAATTACCATTTTAGTGCAAATATTTTAGAGGAAATATGCAGTGCAACAAATGTGTTTCACTGTGACCTGCATGTTTAATATGGATCAGGAAACATTACAGAGACTTTAACTTTTGAAGCTGAATTATTTTGTAGCATTTCATAGATTTATTTTCAAACACAAATCGAGTCAGATTGTAAAATGACTAAGCTTCACTGAACACTTCTCTTCAGTGATTGGCCAAAATGATCAGATAATCTTTTGTAAAATTTCCTGTGGAACACTGAAGCTTTGACTTTGGAATTTTTAAATTGAATTTGGAATTTTTGAACTTTAGAATGTTGAATTTAGCAGTTCTTTGGTTTAAAATTCAAATGTATAAAGCTCTAATATAGAATCAAACTCCACTGTAACAAAAAATCAATTTCAAAACATCAGTTTAAGACCCAAAATGATCGTCTGCTCATTACCTTGTGACAGTACATGTGTTTCTAGTGACTGAATTTTCTTCTTCATCTCTTCAAATTTCAGCAGTTTTATCATCTGAGCATCCAGAAATGTCTCTGTGGAGAAAAACTCTCCTCTGTTTTCTTCCAGCATCTGCTCGATGTTCTCCATCAGTGTGGACACTTGTGTGTTCAGGTCAATGAAATAATGGCGTCCTCCAAAACTCTCAATGACAGACTGTGTTTCTTCATTTAGTTCTGCTGTCTGACGCTCTGGATTCTGATTTATGAGGATCATGATGTGTTTGTTGATTCTCGGGCTGAAGATCCTCTGGATCTTCTCCGTTTCAGCTTTGTCTTCATTATTGAGTGGAGCATCAGGAATGATGAGGATGAACACATGAACTCCAGGATGACAGAGAGACACACAGCGGAGAGTCTGACGCAGCACGTCCTCCTCTGAGAGACGGATCAGAGCTGGAAGGATTTCAATGTCCCGTCACTCCCACACACAACCAGATTCAGCTTTTTACACTCTGAAACTGAGAACAGAAGAAAATAAAAACATTAATGTACCTATATAAACATCAAATTTCATCACACAATATCATCCATTGTGAAAAACTGTGAACCTTCGGCACAATCCAGACGCAGTCCATCGTTCATCTTCACAATGTCCTCAAACATCTGCAGCAGATCATCAGGAGAGCTGCTCCTCTGAAGACCGAAGTGTTTGTTTGCACATTTCTGAATGATGTTCTGTAGGATGTCACTGGTTTCTGTGGGCTCTTGTGTTGTGAGCACCATGGTGTGTTGATAAACCTGCTCAGAGAAAGAGAGCAGCACCTTCTCCACACGCTCCTGATCTTCTGCTGAACACGGCTCATGTCTGAGGAGCAGCACGATCACATGAGGTCCTGGATCAGACAGATGCACACACTCTCTCACTGTCTGTGTGAGCTGATGAGCTGAGATGTTCGTCTGGAGCAGCTGAGGACTGTTGATGACCATCACATGTCTGTCCTTCAGTCTTCCTCCGACTCTCTCTACAACATCTGGAGGAGCTTCACTGTCAAACGCTGCTCGTCCTAAGATGAAGTTTCCCACCAGACTGTTTTCTGACACGCTCGAACCCAGAACAACAATCCTCACTGCAAAGAGTCAAATCAGACATTCAGTGTCCACAGTTCTCACATCATATAATAAAACAGAGCATATGTGGTATGTGACATGTTGATGATGCCAGGATCTTGAGCTTAACATCACAGATCAAAATAACCAGAATCCACCGGCAGGAAATACATTTAATCACTTGTGTTTTGATGGGGATACATTGTTTATATTTTCCAGACATAACCATGTATTTATGAAGATAAAGACTTACTCTGAGGAGGTGGTTCTTTGCTCCATCTTCTCCTACGAGGAGGATTGTGGACGACAATCGCTGTATGAAACAAAAGACCTTCATCACCCAACAGAAAACATCTTTGAACAAATTATTAAAACTGGTCGAAGTGAAAGTTTGAGATGCTCAGAAGTCGCATCAGAATAAATATGTTTAGAGTTTGAGGAGATTAAAATAATTTTGATAATTTTCACTACATATTCAAAACGAAATTGATTTCCTTTGATATGATGTATATTGCCTCTGAATGTAAATACAGTAAAGTGTTTCAAGAAATTACAATTTTATTGACAGAATGGAATGAAAATGTTATTTTAGAATCATTTTAAACGATGATGTGACTCTGATTTTTACCCGTGGTATCGGAGGTTGACATGTTGATATTCTGTTCTCTCCTCCGTCTTTTTCTTTAGTCTTCAGCTGATCATCTACTTTGACTCTTGATGTCTCTGTTTATCGTCCTGTAAGAGATTTTAGTGTTTTTCAAACAGTAACAGTCTTTGTTAATTCGTCCAGACTAGGTGACGCCCCATCATTGTTCTGTAGTTTAAGTGCCTGTTGTTTTTTGTTCAGTTCCCTATCGACCATTCACTTGCATTGCGAAGAATTCACTGTGGGAACTCCACCCCTTCTCCTATTTCCTGAAACTTTATAGGATAACGCCAGTTCAATAAACTGGCCAGTTGTTGCTCCTTATGCAAATCGCATGCAAATACTGACAAGCAGTATAAATGCTGCGAGAGCAACAATTGCCTCAGAATCTTCTCCTTCATGCTGCCATAGTCAATGACGCACCAGAAGAAGCTACAACTTCTTCACTACATCCGATGGCACCTTCTGTCGACTTTGAGCAGGCACATCGACCCGCTGAGCCAAATAACACACGTTCTCTGAGTCCGACTGCATCCTCTGCACTGACTTGCCGGCATGTGTTTGAGGACTCGCGGGAGCACCACTCATGGCCTTATGGGAATGAGGCCTACTGCTGCCAGCGAGCCTTTTAGCTGACGAAAGCCTTTGCCCAAACGACCTCGATGAAGAGAGTTCAATTCTTCGGATGTCCAAAATTCAGGCCATGTTTTCCCACATGGATGGGACGGAGGCCCACAGTTATGTGCGTATGCCCCCCTCCGAGGAGACGGTCTACACATCGGTGTCCTTCCTTGGCGCGGAACTCAGCCTGCCTTGTAGGCTTACAGTAAGGCTCTCCTTAATGCGCCGGTCACTCCCCCTGGCCTCTTTGGTGACACTGGCCGAGAGCCAGACTTTATGCATTCCCTCTGGTGAAGATTTTGCCTTTGGTGTTATGCAAAATTAGGGAAGAGAGCATCGATGAACCTCGTTGCCCCGAACTGGCCGAATCAACCTTGTTTTCTGGACCTAAGGGAAATGCTGGTGGCTCCTCCCCTTGATGAATTCCCCTCAGGCGGTTCCTGCTATCTCAAGCGAACGGCACGATATGGCACCCCAGCCAGGAGCGTTTTCTCAAAATGGTGCTGTGATGAAGATATCGGAGCTGCCCCAGATGTTTTCTGCAACACAGTCTGGACAACGGGATTGGACAACGCTACAGTTTATGTAGCCACTATTGCTTCGTTTCATTCCCCAGTTAATGGACGATCGATTGGGAAGCATGCGCTGGTGGTCAAATTTCTCAGGGGATCGAGGAGACTACATCTCTCACGCCTGCCTTCAGTGCCACCGTGGGACCCATCGCTGGTTCTAAAAGCCCTTTCTCTATCCCGGTTTGAGCCCTTGGAATCTGTTGCTATGAGGAAGCTCTCTCTCAAAACTGCTCTGCTCTGGCCCATACCGGGCTATGTGCCTAAATCTCTTTCTACTCCCTTTAGGCGCAGGTTGTTTCTTTGCCCACTTTGTCTGCTGAGCCATCGACCTCACATGACGGCAAGGCTCAGAGCGCCATTTGCTCTGTTAGGGCTTTGAGGATTTATATTGAACGCTTGGCCATCTTTCGACACTCTAACCAGCTCTTTGTGTGCTATGGTGGCTGTGCTAGGGATGAGTAGTATCTAAGAGGAGGCTTTCTCACTGGATAGTGAATACTATCGTGTCAGCTTATGCAAGCCGGGGACAGGAATGCCCTCTCAACATCAGAGCTTACGACGTGAGCTATTGCACTTCATAGGCCTGGTCTAAAGGCTCATCTATTCGGTATATATGCTTTGCAGCTGGCTGGTATTCACAGAACACTTTTGGCAGGTTTTACAAGCTGGATGTGCGGTCCTTGGCGTCTGAAGTATTTTTGGTGAGTCACTAATCTCACTTATTCTTCTAGTTTATTGCTATGTTGCAATTTGGGGCACAGTTGTTACCTCGTATAGCTGTTGACACTGTACAGGCCTATGTACATATTTATAAGTGCTTTTACCATGTTTTTACCACGTATAGCGGTTAACACTGTGCAGGCCTATGTATATCTTTACATATGTGCTTTGTTACCAGTTTGCTACCATGTATAGCTGTTGACACTGTGTGGACCTATGTACATTTTGATATGTGCTTTGTGTTATGATGCACGGTGCTACCCTGCTGCTGTTGTTGTGTCTGCCCTGCATTCAGTGCAGCAGCTTGTTTATTCTGACTGAATATGCAAATTCAGTATACCCAAGATGCTCATTGGTCTAGCCCCACCTATCAGCTGTGAGGGTTCCTAATGGTATCACTATTGGTTGGGAATTGTGTGTTGTTCAACCCCATGCTTGGTATGGTATGAAGCCTTGGTTTGGGCTGATCTTCGCCGCACTCATGGTGGGATTGAATAATGTTCCCACAGTGAATTCTTTGCAACGCGAGTGAATGCTCGATAGGGAATGTCTCGGGTTACTGTCGTAACCTCGGTTCCCTGACAGCGGGAATGAGACATTGCGAAGATCACTGTGCTCGCTACTCGATGAGTAATGCATCATTCAGTTTTAGATTTTGAGGCAATTGCCACTCTCGCTGCATTTATACTGCCCACAGACTCATCTGTATTTGCATGAGATTTGCATAAGGAGCGACAATTGGCCAGTTTATTCAACAGGCGTTATCCTATAAGGTTTCAGGAAATTGGAGAAGGGGTAGAGTTACCACAGCAAATTCTTCACAATGTCTCGTTCCCGCTCTCAGAGAACCGAGGTTACAACAGTAACCAGAGACATTTTCTGTTTAACTACAGTAGCTTGAATCTCAAACTCTTGCTGTAAACCTGCTGAAAATCACAGGTTTGATTCCCACTGAACAAACACACGCTGATGATAACACTCATATGTGATAGAAATTACTCAATTATCCAAATGATTGAAAGAATGCTATTAAATGTTGAATCACATAATATGGAACTTTTATCTCTACATTCAGAATTTATGCAGCAGCTCTGCATGTTTCTGCTCCAGCATGTTTACCAACATAAACCAAAAACACTTCACAAGAGACAATGTTTCTGCTTCTAAACACTTTTTTTTTTATTTTTTACACAGATTTGCTTTCACGAGTTCACACTTACATATAATGAACTGAGTAAAGATTATGCGTATTTGGCGTGCTGTCCGGGGAGAGGGCTCCGAGCTCGGTAATTACTCTCGAGCCCGGGGTACTCCCCCTGTCCGGGGAGAGGTGCCCGAGCTTGGTTTTTTAGCCCGGACCCAGAATGCTCCCCCAAAGATGCAATTAGTACGGGACAGCAGCCAGAGAGGAGCTTTGACAACCCCCCAAAAATTGGCAAAGCTTAAAATCTTAGCTCTTGAAAGCTTCTGACGACCAGCGACCGAATGCTTGTATCGGCTGCTGGGAGAGGCCTTTTTGAGCCGCTGTGGTTGCCGCTCCAATTTGGAATGAATGGCTGGAAAAGTTATCGGCTGGGGTACCAGATAGGAGCAGAACAGACTTAAGGTGCTTTTGAAACCAGAAATGAGTGATGGGGCGGTTGGAGTTGTCTGTAAAAAGGGGCTTGGATGGGCATTTGGACTGTGATTTCCTGAGCTGGATGAAGGCTAGGACGGTTTGGTAGTATGGGTGATTGGAGGTTGAAAATTAAAATGAAATGGCCTTTCTTGGTCTGGTCTGTTTTACTTAGCTTCATGAAGTAGAAGATGATTTTGTCATCCAGCACCGCTAGATAGGAAATAGTGGGGTGGATGTTTGGGTTGAAGCTAGATGTGATAGCGAGCTCAGAGCATCTGAGAAAACCGTAGAAAGCCAGGATGAACATGGCGTCAAGTGTGCGGGTGGTGTGAATGGAATGGTAACCTCTATGGAGGCTGGAAATACATTTAGTCAATATTTTTAAGGTTATGGGCTGCCTTGTGTCTGGGTGGGTGGGATGGGCTTGTTGGATACCTTTGATGAGTAGGGAGGTCTGAGAATTGGCTATCTGGGGTGAGGGTGAACCGTATAGGAGTTCATGGAAAAATTGGATTCCACTTAGATAACCTTTAATGGAGCTGATTTGTAGGGTTTTTTTATGTTGAGGTGAGAGATGAATGAGGTGATGGCGAGCAAGGAAACGTCGGGGAATGGCAGGTTGTAAGCAGAGTGAAATGCTTTAAAGCATTTCCATGCTGTTAGATATGATTAGAGGGTCCTAGGGGAGACAGCTTGTGGGATAGAATTGAGGGAAGCTTCATGGAGATGTTTCAGTGGATGGTTTACGTGAATATCAGCTCTGAATAGGCAAGGGACTGGGGTTGGGATGGTTCCGCCTCTGGCGCCAACAGTCTGAACTTCTGACAAAATCTATGTCCTGATGCTGCTGACTACGGGGGGTGGTTCCAAGGCGAGAGCATTCGAAGGGATGGGTAGGGGCGTGGCAGATAAAGAAAAGGAAGAGCGAGCATGCGAGGGGGGGGGGGGAAAAGGTAGCTGTCAGAACCGCTTGCGGAGGCATGCTCACGCTTGGGACGGCTCTGGGAGCGGGAGCGGAAGAAAAGGAGGGTCAGAGAGGGGGAATGGCGGGCATCAGGGCCTGCGCCATCAGCAGAGGCAGCCTCACGCTAGTGTTGGACGGTGGGGCTGCAGGCCATGGGTAGGGAAAGGGAGGGGGTTGGTAAAGAAAGGGCTGTGGATGGGTCTGCGCCACTAGCGGAGGCGTGCTCACGCTAGCATCTGCTACAGGAGCTGGAGGCCACTGAAAAGGAAAAAAGGGTTAAGAAGTAGATTGCTGTCCTGCGGCAAAACACGAGGGCAGTTGCGTTTTAGATCAATTCTGAGTGAGCTCGTCGTGGGCGCATCAGTGAATGGTGAAATATTTCTGTAAATGTATTGATCCTGCCAGAAGAATTGCGTGAAACTTATGTCTGTTCCATCTGTATCACCTCAGTGAGGATTTATACATGCACAGTAAGGCAAATGTAACGCTTTCAGACATTTCAGTGTGGATGATAAACTTTGGGGGGAAAAAATGGTTTTTTTTTTAATTGCTTAAAAAAATGGCATCAACATCCGTTTATGTTATTTAACAAAATTTAGCCACGAAAACCTGCTTTTAGCGACTTCACCTGAAAATTAATTTGCAACACGGCCTGCGCCGCTAGTGGAGGCAGCCTCAAACTAGCGTCTGCTACGAGAGCTGGAGGCCCGGTTGCATACGGCACTGCGGCCTGAAGAGCAGAAGGCAGAGCCGCAGCGGGAAGCGAGTGAGGCTTTGCTGCGGTAAGATCTGGGGCATGGCCCAGGCTTGTTGAAGGCCTGCTGTATGGCGTTATTTTACTGTCAAATGTCGAGAGCGCACTGTCGTAGCGCAAAAGTACATTGCTATGATGCGCGAGCGCGAATTTCTAAAAAAAAGTTATCAACCAATCAGACTTCCGCGACTGACTGATGAAAATGAAATCCAAATTTCCAAGAACCGGGTATTCGATAAGACGTGTGCATTTCGATTCTGCTTAACGATTCCTGCGTTTGCATTTTAATGTGATTAAAAACTATTTAAGTGCAGGAACGGAAAGAACTTGCGCCCTGTT